GTGACAGTCATTTCTGAACTGTTAAGAAATCACAGTACGCATATAGAAACAAATAACAAATATTGAACAAAGAAGGTGTTCACTCCTACTAATAACATGAATATTTAAACAAAGTTATGTGGTATATTAATTTTTCACCAAAATAAATCAATTTCTTTATTTTCTGTGATTGATATTGGTTTCCATATTTATTTATTTTTATTAAAAATTAAACTTGAATTATTTTTTTTTTCTATCAGAATTAGTTTAAATAGATTTTACAATTATAGAGCAAGGCCGATTCCCATACTATACTCTGAATGCTTTTTTCTTACTGGAAAGTACTGGGGCTTTTGAAAAATTCTTTGTAAAATTTTGCCGAGTATTATATTTCAGTCATGACTATTTTCACTGACTTGCCAATTTGATTATCGTTAGATTCTCTATGTACATGTAACAGAAAACAATTATAACACTCAGTTTTAAGTGTTTTATTATATAAACGTTTGAGTGTACAGTCATCTGAAAATCACGAGAATGGAACCCTCAGATTATGTTTTAAATTAATTAATCCCGAAATAAATCTATACACATTTATTGAAACAAAGATGTTTTGCAGTTCATAGATTGAAAATAGTGTCATTGTTGACCAGCGTGTTCAGCGATGTGTAACACTGATACCACTCATTGACTTTCTGCTAATCATGCCCAAAGGCGATTGAAACCTCAAGTGTTGACAACACACAATTCCCGATATTTTCAAATGTTTTATTTTTAAATAAATGTACCTTTTTAATTACTTGTTTATAAATTAAAAACTAACTCATAAATAAATCCCCAAATACTTGTTCACATTGTTTATATAACGGGAGAATGGTAGAATAATTTTATTTCGTGGTCATTAAATAAAAAATTATTAGGTTTTATTTGAGGGCGGTAAAAAATAGCATGGGGAATGTGCTTTTTTGAGCATGGTTTTAGCTTTTTTCAATTAAAAAAAAATCCAGTACAGTACTTCCCTCTGAATATCTTACTGTAATAACATGTTTGTTTTTTTTTAAATACATTGTAGTGCTAATGCAAACTTTGAGTACATGATTTGATAGCATTAATTAATTAAATAGGCCTCGATAATTTTGTTTCAAACACTTGTATTAAAGTTTAATTTAAGAGATAAAAATCATCTCCTGACTTCCCTTTTTAATTACTTTCATTTTTTAAAAAATTAATTCTAGACTACAATTGTGTAAATTTAGAGCCCCTGAAGACATATAGTAATTACATGTATATATATATATCTCTACTTGTTAAAATTTTGTAAGAAATCCTTGTTCTTTTATTTTTTATCTTCAACACCACTCTGCTGAAAGTAAACAAAACAACAACAGGGAGACTGCAAATTCAGAATACACAAGGGGGCGGAGCTATCATGTCACTCAGAACCTCTTTCACGCATGAGTGAACAAAGCAGTCCCAGAAAGCAGTCCCGGGGACTGCTGGGACTGCTGGGTCTGCTTTTTAGAGCAGTCCCACAGCAGTCCCAGAGCAGTCCCATAGCGGTCCCAGAGCAGTCCCACAGCGGTCCCAGAGCAGTCCCAAAGCAGTCCCGGGGACTGCTTTCTGGGACTGCTTAGGTGTCAGGTTGGGTCTGGTTGGTACTGTATATATATATATATATATATATATATATATATATATATATATATATATATATATATATATATATATATATATATATATATATATATATATATATATAAAGCAAATCAAGAAAGATGGATAATGAACCAATTTATTTCCAAGGGTGGAACCATAAATTTTAATTAGAGAAGGGGCTTTTGCCAGCATCCACGGGTTTCACAAACGACTCAAGACGACCTTTGTATCATCAGCCTTTCAAACATCTCCTCCATCTACGCCCTAAGAATTGTTTGCTGTAAGCTTATTTCTCTTCTAACGAAAAAGTTAACATAACGAATAGTGATCGATCTGAAAAAAAAACCTTCAAACAAAACAAAACTGTGAACAGGGCATGAAATAATATAAATATGAAATATATAAATTAAAGTAATTTTAAAGCTTGTGTTCGAACTATATATGCTAAATTAATATTAAATATCCACTGAATATAACATTAAAAGCACAGTATACAATTATGAAAATAAATCATATAGATAGCATCTTATATAAGAACTACATATAATTACAGAATAACAGCATAATAGAAAAATTAAATATCAACAGCATAAAATATTAAAAGTAAAGCACACATGTATAATCATGAAACAAGATAAAGAGAATTACGAAAGTACGACATTTAATTTTGATACCAAAGCGTAAAATATTGAAATGCATGTAATAACAAAACCATGCACAGCAAATAAATTTACAAGAGGACCATCGGTCAGAAAGCTCTCATTAGTCACTATAGCCCTGCTGTTCTTTATTGGAATACTGTTTTCCCTATATAATTCTACATAAAACTTTGATCATCGACTGTGGCCCACCCTACCCCTGGTGGTTATGTTTTGATCAAACCTGAATCTACATTTCCTGAGAATGCTTCCATATCTATATGACTAAAAATCATACCTTTATTCTTTAGAAGTTTTTTCCCATGTATTTCTATCATGGAAAACTTTGATTGTCCATTCTGGCTCCATCCGCTCAATGAGAGATGTCATGATTAAAACAAACTTTAGTATACATTATGTAATGAAGCTTTCGACTCTTCTAGATCTGGCCAAGTTGTTCTTGAGATAGATTTTTAAAGTTTTTTCTATATATGTCTATGTAAAGCTTTGATCGTCTTTTGTGGCCCCAACCTACTCCCAGTGTCCTGGTTTTTAAGAAAAAAATCTTGAATGTATACTATTTAATATAGCTTTCACATGAGTTTCAGCTCTTCTGGTTCAGTGAATCTTCAAAGGAAGATTTTTGAAATATTTGATTAAATATTCATTGACTTTTAATTTGTGATTAAATATTCATTGACTTTTCATTTCAGTATTTTCCTTGAAAATAAGTGCGGCCCTTCGTTGAACAAATTTAAATACCCTAGCTGCACCCAAGGATGCTTTGTGGCAAGTTTGGTTGAAATTGATCTCACAGTTCTTGAGGAGATGTTGAAAATGTGAAAAGTTAAGAAAGGAACAGACGTTCAGCTAGACAGATAGATAGACGGATAGAGGGACACCGGACAAAATGTGATCAGAAAAGTTGAATTGAGCTTTCAGCTCAGGTGATCTAAAGGACACAATACAGATTAGATATCCACAGAATATAAAATTACGAACTTGCATAGAATTATGAAGCCACATGATATTACCACAAAAGCACAGGATATAATTACGAATGCTTAGAATATAATGAAGAAACCACGGCATTAAATAATGAGACAACAGCATAAAATCAATGCATATTATGATGAAACCACATCAAGTAAAGATGAAACCACTTCGTGAAATAACGTTGATTCACAAAAGACAACTTTGGCGTTCCATGCAATAATTTTCTACTTTATTGCATTATCATGTGAGAGATAAAAAGATTGTATCATCCCAGAAAAATTACATACATTCGAATGTGAAATCGTGCAAAAAGTATTTTTCTACCATGACCGTATCAAAATATAATTATGAATCTTTATATTATACTAGTCTACGTGTGCACCGAGTCTTATTGAAATCGGACCAAACCTCTAGAAAAATAATCATTTTGCAAAAAAATCACAGATTTTTTTTTATTTTAGTAGCCATCACATCCTTCGTTAAATCAAAAATTGAGGTAAAGATATGTGTCTAAGTATTGTATGCATTTACTTGTGTACCAATTTTATTAAAATCGAACCAGAACTGTTAGAGGAGTGACATTTTGGCAGAATATCACAGAATTTCTGTAGGAATCATGGCCACATCGTAGAAATCTGCACTAAGAAACAAGCCGAAGCAATTGAATAAAACATTTCAACCATAAACAAGCGTTATCAATGATTTTATGTATTACTAGATAAGTACATATTTTTGAGTACATACATATTGAGATGCATAATACTATGATGTCAGAAGTAAGTTATCCTGCATTTTTCAAGTCAACATTGTTACCTGATCCCACCTCTGATGTTTTTGGAGGTCCATGTTTGCTCTGCTCCCGATTTGTTTTGTCTAAATGGACTTTGAGCTTGAATACAGTTCGTTATCTTCATATTTTACTGTGGCATTTTGACTGCTCAAATTTAATCTTAGATAGAGTAACACACTTACAATGGCAAATGCCTTCTGAAATGTTTTCACGTTTGCTGTTTTTTTCTAAAATGAAACATATTCTGCTGATTATGCTTTAAATTGCTTATTAACTCTGTACCGAACTTGACAGCTTCCTTAATCATTGCTTAACATACATATGAAACTTGATCCATTCATTCTACAGAGCGAGTGTGTTAAGGTCTCCCTTTGCTACCAAATGAGGTTTGGTACGACAATTTTCAACTATAATTTCAATTTTGTATAAACCAGTCACAGTAGCCTAGTGGTAGGGCGCTCGCTAGTACATACTTACTAGTATATACTATTACTAGTATATCGGGAGGCCCGGGTTCGATTCTCGTTCGCGGCGTCAAACCTAAGACGTAATAGGTAGTGACTGTTCCTTCGCCAAGCGCCCGGTACTAGAACTGAAAGTCACGAATCTTTCGGATGAGACCATAAAAACCGAGGTCCCCTGTCACGTTTGGCGCTGGCAAGATAAAGAACCCTCACTGCTCAAAGACCCTAAGTGCCAAGTATAGGTCTAAATTTAATTTAAAGCCATTCACTGGCATACGGTGACGCCTCTATATGAGCGAAAAAACTCTCAAATGGGACGTTAAACAACATACAATCAATCAATTCTGTATGGCAGTAATCTAACATACAGAATACTGAATAATTTAAATCAAAGAAAAAAAAACCTTAATGCATTTACTTACATTTCACTTATCAAAATTAAATTCAGAAAATTTACTTGGTAAATTGTATGGCGGATGTTTATACATGTACATGTATCAAGAAAAATCAGAAGAATAAACATACCTACATTGAACACCGATTACGATACATAGTATTACGGGTTACTGCGCAGAAAAGTGTCTGGTGATCAAGGGAAATTGAACATTGTTCAACTACAAAAAAGGCTTCCCTCTCATACATATTCTGTTTGTCCTTTATGAGGATGATAAAATCTTCAGGGGGTAAGATTTGTACAACATATATTTTACCCCATTTCTTGATGTGAATCTCACTTCAAACCTGCTTATTCTTTTCTCTGCAACAGCGGAAGGAACCGGTATTCAGTTTTCAATGATGTTTATTATGAACTTCTGAAAACGAAGATAAAAGTATGTCTGAAGCACACGTCCTATGTTTAAGAAAAATCAAACTGCAGTGTGCTTCCCCGGACTATTTGCACAGTTCTTTGCTTCCAAACAGAATATATCTGAAAACGGAACCAACTGTATTGTTTAATTTTCCTATTGTAACTAAATTCCATTTACTAACTTCCCCCCTCCGTTCTCTTCTGCCATACAGATGAAGCCCATAACTGTGTGACCATTTGTAATTCTGGTTATACAAAACATTCCCGTGTGGAAAAAAAAGGCAGTGATGTTCAAAGGCACAGATATACTGTGGATACCTAAGAGAGAGTTTTCTTGCCATTGTTACAGAGTTTCCTCCCCATATGTTTGGATTGTAGTTTCTGTAACTATCAATCCAGAGGTTAATAAATGTAGCGTTTTTCACCGCAAATATCAATGCGCTAGCCATTGATTGATCATGTGCCGTTCCCATGGTACAATCATGATTTCTGAATTGATTAAGTGATCTGAGGACGTATTGGTCTGTATCGATATATATGCCACCGTATTCTGAAAAAAAAATAATCAATGTAGAAAATATTTATTCAAATTTTAACACATTTATACAAGAATTTAGAATGTTTTTGAGAATAAAGTAAATTTGAATGAATCAAGCCAAGACCTCTTAATATTCTCAGTCTCATGATGTCAGCCTTGTGCTGCACCCAACTGATCTTCTTTCCTGAAATTTCGGTTGGTGGTATTATTTTAACATAAACGATGTTTCTAACAATATTTAGAAGTAAGTTCCACCACTTCCCGAAGGGTAAAACATCAAAATAAAGAAAAATTAAACATGGATTTTGGTATTTATGTGTACTATAGAAGCTCACAAAATAAATGAACTCAAATTCACGCTTTCCTAACCATATGTAGTGAACGATATTTGGAACAATGAGATCGTGTGTGCAGAATTTAGTAATGACCCTTTTAAGGCATTCATCTGGAAATTTATACACGGGAGAAGATTCTGAATTGTTGGTTGATTCCAAATAAACATGATCTTCGGAGCATCCAGGAATCAACTGTTTTCTTTCTTTATTAGATTTAGTGAAAAAGGTTTCATTCCAATCCACGCAGTGCACAGTGGTTTGAAATCGCCAATCCGACCCACCAATAGGTGAAAAATCTGAAACATAAAAAATGTCCTTCATGAACATAACTTTGGGGCATCACCTTTTCTGGTTGTTTTTTTACTTGCTTTGATTTTTTTTTTTGATTTGATTTTTTTCCGAAATAAGGGAGAACTACGCGATTTATAAAGTCCACAATAGCCACCCTTACGAATGTATAAAACTCGAGAATTTCTCAGTAATCTTCCTACTTTGAAACTAATGCGATACAGTCATTATTTGAAGTAAACTATTCACAGAAGTGTAACTTGGAATTAGTGCTGTTTTGACTGACACGTGGTGACATGAGAAAAAAGAAAGTAATTTTACGTTTCAGGCCCGTAGCAACGTATTTGAAAGGGGGAGCAAGCCTTAAAAATTTGACAAGCCAAACAATTATAATATTAATAACTTTTAAAAAAAAAAAGTAAATTAGAAAAACACCTGCCCAAACTCGAAAATCCTATTTCGTGGGATGGTTGGGTGGAGACCTTTTTCTAACTTTTCGGTACATTTTTTTAATGTAGGAACTTATCTGTGTTCGACAGTACAGCAAGAAAATGGGGGGGGGGGCTTCCAAATGTAAATAACATTGTCATAGTAGAACATGTAACCGGTAAATAAATTTACCTAGTCAAACTACAAAAAACTATTCTCAGAAGAGGGAGGGTGTTGTAAAGACGAATAATGACCCCGTAGAATAATGACCGACAGTCATTTTTTGACGTCTAAAAATGACTTGCTGGTAGAAAAAGTGGCATGACCGTTATAATCTGCATACTCTATGTAAAGAAAATTGACTCCCGTGGAAAATTGACCCTTTGCAGATTTTATCTGGTATGTATATTTAGATTATAAACCAAGAGGATTATTGGCCAAAATGCTTTCCTGAGGTAAATTGAGGATACATCGATGAAATGTTGGTCTCTTTAAATCTTACCAATAAATAATCTGTCTTTGATTATAAATTGACATTATTAACCGACTTCAATCTACAGTCTGTGGAATCGCTTCCATATTGATTGGAAAAATGTATCACTGTTTAAAAAGATTTCTCCCAAAATATATTTTTAAAAGAGAGAGAGAGAGGGAGAGAGAATTTTTTTTGTAATGTCTATTTCCGGTTAAATAAGTTGCGTTTGAGTGCAAGTTTTTTTAAAGTCAGTTATTTTACATTGTAACAGTTTACCTATACATGTGTGCAATTTTCGTACATATAGCAAATTTTAAAGTATCTTAAAGAAGGATAGGAAAAACGTGATGTTTTCGGGATTTGGGGTACATTTTCATTAAAACCTAAAAAACAAGCATTAATTAAGTAATTACTTTTCCATGTCTTTGAAAAACAAAGGTAGAAATACAAGCAATTTTAACCTAAACTGCCAAAAAACTTCCACAAATCCCCAGAAACCTCAAAAGAATGTAGTCAATAAAAAAAACTTGATCAGATATCCACTAGCAATACCCCATCGTGCATTAGTACTTGATCCATGTGCTTTATACATAAACATTTACCATCCTAGATTTTCTGGATGTTCTCCTTTATCAAATAAATGATAAATCTTGTCAAAGAAGACACTTCAAATCTTGTCGAACAGATGCAGTTTTCTAAGATTTTGCTTAGCAAATACCTAATGCGTCCGAACAATTCTGACCACAAAATTAATATTTTTTCTTCTAACGTACGAGTATAATTTTATTTAATTCATCCGAAGATGGAACTTGTTTGTCCACACAGATATCTTGTTCGTCCGAACGAAGAACAGACTTCAGACCTATTATCTTATTTTTCAAAACATACATCTAATTTGTTTGAACAATTATAGATTTTTTTCTGGGCTTCAACGGCACTATTACATTATATCCCGTATTTACTAAAGTTATGACCTTCATAGTTTGTTTGTTTAGTAAAAGTTATCAATATTCTAAAATTACAAATTTTTAACATTAAACATAGAAAAATGAAAAGTATAAATAAATGTATTTGCTAACAAGGTCATTATTACATGTACAACCCAGGAATTTTCGAAATGCTGACTTTGATTGAGACTGTTGAACACTTGTACCATCACTTATTTGCCTGAGTGTCCTGCCTCTGTTTAAAAATTGATCGTAATCAAAACATGCTCTAGTGTACCAAATAACCTGGGAACATCAACACCATATGCAAACGATAGTGGAATATTACTACATATATACATGTACGTCATTCCGTCATATAATTTAGTTTTTAGTGGCCATATCATTAACGTCTATAATCAGTAAAATATCTAAATATCTATTCACTTCGTGATCGGGAAGACCGGGTTCGTTTCTCATTCGCCGCGCAGCGTCAAAACTAAGACGAAAACATAGCTATAGATAGTCACTGTTTATTTGCCAAGCGCCCGGCAATAGAAGTGAAAGTTAAGAGTCTTTCGGATCAGAGTTTAAAAATCGAGTTCCAAGGTCACGCTAGGCTTTGGCAAATTGAAGAACCCTCATTGATCAATGGCCCCAGGTGCCGAGTATAGGGATAAATTTTAAGTCTTTAACCTCCATACAATGGCATTTCTATACAAGTGAAAAATTCATTCCCAAATGGCACGTAAAACCACATACAATCAATTAATCAATCAAAAATATGAAACGGATGAAAAAGAAACTAAAGGTAACAGTTTTAACCAATAGCCACTGTGATTTAACAACTGTACGATTTTTATCGTGTGCTGAGAACAAAATAGGTCTAATAAATAGAAACACATGACAGGTAATGTTGTTATTTTACATGTAAATTGCATGTTTATCCAGTATTCGTAAAGAAAAACGCAAGAGAATTAAACGCTGAGAACCAACCCTGACATTAATCACCTTTTTTTAAACTTTGTACTAGTATTACTCTATTTGGATGTGGGTATTTTTCAACGGGGTCCATTTCTTATAGGTTGCACATTTAAGAAACTAACTCCCATTAGGTTTTTTTCTACACAACATTATATTTTCTTCGGCTTGTGGTCATTTTTCGACGTCGAAATAACCCCTGGTCATTTCCTATTGGGGTCATTATTCGTTTTTTCACTGCACCCTCCCCAACACCACCCCACCATCACTAAGTACTACCGGCCCGCGTCTTACTATAGAAGTCAGTGGATTACATGTAAATGTACTCTAATCTCTCACTAGAATATTTAATCAAACTTCTTTAATCAGTAGTCATCATTTTCATTCCGTTTATTACATTTTTAAGTGCATAAAACTTCTTTTCTGAGCATGCATGTATAGTTCAAACGTCCTTCAAAGAAGATAATGCATATTTTCTCAAAGTACGAGGGTTGTTCGAAAAGTTCGTGGACTTCTGTCATATCTTTTTTTATTTAACGTCATATTATACCCAAATTTGGTAGAAATATTTTAACAATAAATTCAAATTATTTGTATGAAATTTTTTTTAAATATCTTGATTTATTTCAAATTTATTAGGAGTTAAAAAGTACGAAAATTGGTTCGCGGAGCAAGTCAAAATTTAGTAATTTACAAACAATACGCTAATTAAAGTCTGTAGTCATATCATCTGTAAAATGGCTCAAAACCAAATAAATCTAGACGATCAAATTAAGAATTGTTACATCGTTTTCATATTCAAAATTATGACTTAATAGTTTGCTTCATGGAAAAGAAATCAATATCTGACGATAGGTAGTCCTCATTGAAAAAGACAAAAAAGGTGACGTCGTCGAACGTCACGGAGAAGCAGTTTACGATACAATTTTCTGTTTTACTCTGGAAAACGTCAAAATAAATTATGAATATGTTGTAGAAAGCATGAAATATCTCAAAAACGGGTCATGCATATGTGTGTGTAAATGGCCCAGGCGGTATTTGAATGATAGAAACTCTGTATCAGACGAAGACGATCTGTGAGAAAACGGATTATCTCTAAAGAATCAACCCAAAAACGTTCATTTAGTAAGGTCTTGGAAAGGGGAAGGGATTTCACGGTTGCTGGTCTTGTGAAAGCATAGTTAAGCGATAAAAAAGGAAAACATTGACAATCAAAATTATGCTACTGGAACAATTGTTTATAAAATGAATTTCAATTGATAGAGACACGTTTTAAATGAGCAGATATTGGACCAGACTGTGTGAAATGTATAGGGAGAATATTTTGTGAACCTCATGACGCTATATTTTTACGTTATAATGTTGTTTAGTTTGCTCTGGGGTTATCAAACATGTTGATTTTAAAATAAAGTAAATTGATTTCTATTCACTTGAATGGAATGAAACTTCACACATCAACAAAATAAATATTTTTACATGTGATAATGTGCTTACAATAAATTTCTTGAAAGTAGTATAACGAGGATTGACATTGTCCACGAACTTTTCGAACAACCCTCGTATTTAAAAGAAACAGACAAAAGAAATGTTCTCTCTACTGCCTAATTTCTTTGTAAAATATGGTTCCAAACTACAACTTCTGGATGAAATATGGAGATAATGAACAGTATTCAAGTCCATTACAAGTAAAACGATACAAATCGGGAGCAAAGCAAACACCTTCAAAACTCCAAAAATATCAAAGGTGGAATCAGGTACCATGGAGGAATTTGCATCCTCAGCTGACCGGTCACACCCGCGGTGTGCTCCTTGTCATGATTGGGAAAAACGGCAAAATCCGTAGACATTTCAGTTTGTAATGACTTAACAATAAGTATGAAAAATGTCAGTCAGCATTTGACTCAATGATAGATTGTATTTTGCTGACTAGGTGATTGTATCGACCATAAAACTTGCGAAATGATGACTTCAAACGAGATTGTTGATATCCGTGTTTCATCAACATGTTTGTAAATAGCTTGTCTTGTTTGAGAAATTGTTCATACGTAGAGCATGCTCTTGCGTTCGAATCAACTGGGAGACAATAATCCGATATGCAGGTGAAAAGGGTATATGGCTACATAAGTAATTATGGATGTTTACGATTGAAAAATTAAAGTCATCACGTTTATCATAAAGCTTTGTTGTTGGGTTACCATTTATGTCTTTTTCTAGAAAATTGTCCAAACATGTGTTAGACTCTAAAATATCTTTTTTTCAAGCTCACTGGGATATATCGAGTGGAGATAAAAATGGAAGTAACTATTGTTAATTGATAATACGCCGTCGATATACCTAAATGTCGAGTTAAAGGCCACAGCAAGTGTTTTCTTCTTCTCGTGTAGAAGTTTTTGAATTAATTCTGCTTCATATTAATACAAAAATAGGTCTGCTAATAAGGGGGCGCAATTGGTACCCATTGATATTCCGACTGATTATCGAATCGAATCGGAAACACCATTTCGATTCATAATCGAAAATAATCGGACATTTCAGATTTCTTAAGTTTTATTTTTATTTACATAATTAAAAGCCCTGTATCATGTTTGTAGTTATACGCACTAGTGTCTAAATATAACTGATAAGTACACATGTAGGTCTGTATTTCAGTTTAAATGAATCTGCTGCTATTTTACTATATTTATTAAAGGAAAGAATCACACTTGCATAAATTTCAGTTCAATGAAAAGGAATTTTAATAGTATATAATTAATTTTTAATTGTTAACTAAGTAAATAACGTGTTTCATTTGTTATGACATTAATCATGTTTATATTAAACTACTGATAAGATGATAAATTTGTTTAAAAATTTTGATTTTTTTCAAAAGATGTTAAATTTTCTTGTTTTTTTTTTTTGTTTTGTTTTTTTTTTTTTGTTTTTTTTTTAAATTTTTTCCTGTTTATATATATAAAAAAAGTTCAACAAATCATCTACCTTCTAAATGTTCATATTTGAATTCATCAGTTTATTCAGAGAAATAATTTAAATTGTATACAGAGCATGTATAGGCATGCACAATAAAAATTCCAATACTTCTTGTGAATTCGTTTTATAGAATCAAAAAACACTAGCTTTGTGTTTCACCTCTAACTTACCTATAATTGTTTAAACTGTAAAAAATAATACACAGAGTAGGAGTGGAAAGTTGAAAATATAGTTTCAAGTGTGAGAGCAGAGGAAAATCAGGTTAAAAGACCATGTTTTTGAGAGTGGTGCTCTTAATAGCTTTATTTCGTCGTCAATTTCTTTGTTGCATAAAAGAATTATGCCTTGCATTAATAAAAGGGAATTTTATTTAGATTTAGTCATTATTATAATTTTCAAAGCATTTTTACGAATCATTCAGTCGCCCGCGTGGCGCAGTGGTTAGAGCGTCTGCTCTAGAGTCGCGGCGTAAGGAGTTGATCCTTACGTCGCGGGTTCGAATCCCACTGTGGGACGTGGAGACCGGTCCTTCGGATGAGACCATATAAACCGAGGTCCCGTGTCGTAGTAGGTGCTGGCACGAAAAATATCCCTCACTGCTCAATGGCCCTGAGTGCCGAGTATAGGTCAAAATTTGTAGCTATCCATCGGCAAGTGGTGGAGTCCCCATATGAGTGAAAAATTCTCGAGAGGGACGTTAAACAATAACAAACAAACAAACAAACAAGCGAATCATTCACTGACTCAGTATATACATGCATTGTTTAGTACAGGCGAACGGACAGTAAATTCATTATATGTGTGCACATGGAAGATACATAAAAATAATCAGTGTGACTTCTTTGAACAAAGAAAGGCCTAGGAAAGGAAACACTACCTAAAAAGTTAATATATATTAAGATTTAGCATTATGTTTAAAGTAGCTATATATGCATATATATAGCGACTATCGATTTTGGTGCTATGCTATCGATTGTCGGCATCGCCAACCTTTCAACGACGACTTTTCGATCGCTGGCGACTATCTCTGAATCACTAGTTGGAAGACTTGATTTCCAAAAACTACATAGATTTGTCATTTAGAAACTCAAGCATCTTTTAAACTTGAGAGTACTTGTTTGTACAATCAGAATGTTTTAACAAAATAATTTTGCAGGTGTATGTATGTGTGTGTGAGAGATAGAGAGAGAAAGAGAGAGAGATTCATTAAAAATCTGTTTCTTTGATATTCTAAAAGCATTTGTGGATTTAATTATAAATTCATTTAAACTTACTCTTAAACAGATTTGTATTATCTTTCTTTTTGTGTTGAAGATGATATTGTTCAGTTTCAATATCACAGGATTCCTCTTCATATGGAACATGCCCTGATTTCTTCTTTACTAATCGTGTAGGAATTATTGGAATGGTATCCTTTTTCAACTCCTTTTTCATACACATAAAGATTAGAACACAAGTAAACCCAAGAAGCAGGGAAAGAATGCTAAAAAACAAATAAGATTGAAACAAAAATGTTAATAACTTCTAGATCAAGGAAAGGAACAATGGTGCAAATAATATACGGTGCAAATTTTGATGCACCAGATGCTCATTTCGACAAAGTATGTCTCTTACATGATGCATGCTCATGCCAAAAATTCTTAATTAAAAAAAAAAAAACCTTTGAAGCTTTAAACATGTTTTCACATTTCATCTAAGTGCTCTAATTCTAAAATCAATGTACATCTAGAGTGCAAGAGCAACAGTAATTTGTAAAATTACCTACTAGTGTTTATTTTCGATAAATTACATGACAAAGACTATTACTTCTGAGATGTAACTTTAAGTATTATTTTGTGGAATAAGAGGAGAAAATGTGTATGCAAAGAAACTCATCTTCATCTCATGACCTTGAGTAGAATGAAAAATGGAGATAACGAACAGTATTCAAGCTCAAAGTCCATTTAAGGAAAACATATCGGGAGCAGAGAAAATAAAAGACATCAAAAACATCAGAGGTGGGATCAGGTACCATGGAGGAGTGAGCATCATTGATAACCAAATGTGCAATCTTTTAATACCATTGTTGTATAGCAAGCTTTCTCCAAGCCAAGCTGGAAAGCTGACTTATAATTAAAAGCACACACCACCCCCTCAAATCTGGCTATATAGTATAGATCTTCCTTCAAGGAGAGCTGTCTATATACATGTAGTGGTATTTCCCCCTTTTAAAGCCTGATTTCCCCCATGGAGAACCCATAAGTCCTATATAGTATAAATCCCTCACCATCTCATTACGGCTACATTTGTGGCGGACTATCCTTTTCAATACTTTAATATAATTGAGAAAACATACCTAGGACGTATCTGAGCTACATGTACATGTCCTAACACACTTACTAACCTTTTTAGCATACATCGGAAATTGCAATATAAGCAATATATTCTTTTATTTTTTTACTCCAGTTTACTAAAGTGTATTTTATATCACTCATTTTTATATTTATGGTTGACTTACATTTTAATTGCAATGTCTTCTTCATGAATTGTCATGGAAAAGCATGTATTACCGTCATAAACAGATAAATTACAATTACATGTATGCTATTTAAGGAGATTTATAAATGTAATTTAAAAATATGTCATAACAAATCAATCACATTTTAAATATAACATTTTTATAAAATCATAAAAGTCTGTTGGCACCACAATACATGATTGTATATATTATTATGTTTGAAAAAAACCTAATTTGTGATTTTACTTCACTTAAGAAATTATCAAAAAGATTAAATCGAATTGCTTAGAAAGAAGTAAATGAATGTCTGATTTCATATTTTTTTCATAAAGAAAAGTATTTCATTCTAAAACTAGAGGAACTTTGAGAAACAATCTCACAAAATGATTACCCCCCCCCCCCTTCTCCCATAGGAGTATAATGGCTAAGTCCATTTGTTTGTTATGGGAAAGACCAAAATAGCTTGTGCATTTGTGTATGTGCATGAACATTGTTATCATACTGACCATGTAAAAGATTTTATCTGAATTCTATTATGATAGTTTAAAATTCAAATCTGTTTATCATGTCATTACTTAAGTTAAATTTTTACATAATTCCAGGAATTAATACAATAAATTTAATACATATATATACATTAATTTATATACAAACAATTTTTCATGACAGAATATATAGTACATGTAAATGTAGTTTACGTTGTTTGATGTACAAAACATCAATTTAAAGGCAGATTGGGCTTTTCATATTGGAAAAAAAAAACAAAAAAAAAAAAAACAAAAAAAAAACCAAAAAACCAGAAAGGGAAATAATCTGCTTTGAAGGAAGATCTACTGTTTACATGTAGTAGCTTTCCCCCCTAAATCCAGTTTTCCGGGGGTAAAATCTACTATTAGGGAAAAGTTCCTTTACAACACCTGTGCTATGAAAAATATACAATTTTTTAAATAGTTTATTAGATAAAAGGACATTAAACCCATTGACATTGATTTCAATGAAATAAATATTTGTTAACACTTACCGCATTTTTGAATTGCAAAAACTGCAAGATAAAATCCTAACGCATTTTGGGTTCCTATAATAAAACAACGTAATCGATTAAGTTAGTACCAACCATTCTTCAAATTCTTTTTTTTATTTGAAATTCTGATAATTTTTGGTAACCTATATAATAATCTCTTCATGTGTAACATGAAAGAATATCAGCCACACATATTTGCAAGCGCCCTGTTAAAAAAAATGAAAGCGGACATTCAACTATAATATGTGCTTTAAAGAGGTAAGCACCTGAAGTATTGTAAATCAATTTTCCACGAAGTTTTTTTTCTAATAACTATTATGAAAAAGAATTAAAATATTATGGAGAAATGAGGGTCTTGTTTTTTTTTTACGGAAGGCCATTTAATCGTGAAAAAAAAAAACAATCCTCGACATATTTCAACATTGTAAGCTCTACTTAAAAAAACAAGACAATAAAGATGTAACATGTAGTAATATTATGTTTATATTTGATCATGATCAGAACTATATATATATATATATATATATGTGTGTGTGTGTGTGTGTGTGAGGGTGTGTGTGTGTGTGTTAATATGAAAAAAAAATCCATGAAGCATGCTTGAAGTATCAGGTACATTTAAAAATGCCGAGAAGAGATACGCAAGTTCATTCTGCATTGTAAATAACTTAGTCTGAATTATCGCCTATAATTGACAATGTTTGTTTGCTGAAATACTTTAATAGATAACTGCAAAATATAGATAGTTTATTCATTTATTTGAATCTCATCACCATTTTACAATAGTGTGTAGAATTTACAAGAACATAAGGATGACAAATAAAAAAGTAATAGATAGTTAAGGCATACGTGAAAAATAAAATACAAAAATTAGGACGTTACTATTAATGTGAAATATGGGAATTCTGTACGGGGGAGCACTTTTTAAGAGGGTCATTCAAAAAAATAATGAAATGAACGGTTTATCATAATAAATAAAGAAGCAATAAAATTTACTTACTCCTTTGCAAAAGGCGTTATTACGCTTTTGCAAAAGGTGTTATTACGCCTTTTGAAAAGACGTTATTACACCTTTTTCAAAAGGCATTATTACGCCTTTGCAAAAGGCGTTATTACGCCTTTCAAAAAGGCGTAATTATGCCTTTTATAATTATGCCTTTTCAAAAGGCGTTATTACGCCTTTTATTTTCAATACATGACTAACTTAGCCCACCCCGGTAGCTTAAATCTTACCCTTGGGACACGAATTTCACAATCAAAAATAGGGCTAATTTCTCAAAGTATAATTTTAACAGATTGTAATTAGATTTCCAGGAAAACGATTTTTAAATGCGTAATATATTTTCAATGTTTAACGAACTTAGTCTCTCTCTGATGCAAGACACCTCTACCAAAGGTCATGGATTTCACAAATTCTCATTATACCCATGCAAATAGTTTGCCTGCTTTTTTCCTAGAGGAGAGAAAAATATTTTAATTTTAATTTGACATGATTTTTTTAATATATGGACAGCAAAGCCCCAATTGCATCTGCCCATATCCATATCCTTTGATTTCTCTTAATTCGCATGCAAACAGTTGTCTGAGAGATGTGCAGGAATATAAAAAAAATCTTTAAAGATTGCATAAATAAAGATGGCTTTGATTCAATCTTTCATATATTTATTAACATGAAATAACGCCTTTCCATTTTTGGATATATACCACCTTTTCAAACAGGCCGGTAGTACGAGTAAGAGTGCGAGGCCTCCTCCCCACCCCACTTTTTAGGAGAATAATCTTGCTATAGTTTAAATATAAAAATTCATTTATTGGCTGCTTGGTCCCTAAACATTTTGTTGCAGTATGGGCAGACTTCAGCAAATTATTGCATTTAAAAAAAATTTACCGAAAAGTTTGAAAAAGATCCCCCAGGAGTTTAGGCACTTAAGGTTTTTTTTTTTGGGGGGTGGTGTGGTTGTTTCTTGTTTTTTGTTTGCTTGTCAATTCATTGGGAGGCTACCCCCACCCCCTTTTAAAAGCACGAACCTGTCAAAGGCATAATAGTAGCTATTCAAAAGGCATAATAACGCATTTTCAAAAGGCGTAATAAAGTCTTTTAAAAAACGTTATATTACCTTTTTGAAAAGGCTTAATAATGCCTTTTTAAAAGGTGTTAAAACGCGTTTTGAAAAGGAGTAATAACGCCTTTTGGAAAGGCTTTATAACGTCTTTTAAAAAAAGCAAAATAACGCCTTTTGGAAAGGCGTAATAATGCCTTTTACAAAGGTGTACTAACGCCTTTTGGACAGACGTAATAACGCCTTTTGGACAGGCGTAATAACGCCTTTTGGAAAGGCGAAATATTTTAGCACCGAATCATTATTTTTTGAAATATATAGTCTCATAACTGCAACGATGTGTGCAAACAAATGCAAATTGAGTAAAGCGCGTTAGCGCGTTATGAAAATTTGTTTGCACACACTTTTGCAGTTATGAGACTATATCTTTCAAAAAATAATGATTCAATGCTTATATTTACATTTTTTAACTCCTTGCCTTGACTGCAAAGGTGATTTATATTTCAAAATCCCTGTATTATCCATAGGGTAAGTTACAATTAATGGAAGAGCCGTTGCAACAGCTTCAGTTCAATGTGAGCGTTAATTTTGATTTTCGCTTATGACGTTGCACTTACACGGCGTTCATTGTTGTGACGTCAAAATAAAACGCATACTTTAACGTTTTAACCCCCTGTCCGTGTTATGGTATTTTGAATGCCGTAGCTTTCCTCACACTTGATAAGTAAAATACATGTTGAATGTAATTATCGCCTTTTGAAAAGGTCTAATAGCGCCTTTATCCGCGTTATTTCAATTTTTAATTTATAATTTTTTTTCTTTCCATTTTATCCTAATAGGCTTTCGTAGAAAAGTACTATTTCAGGATGTACAACACACCTACCCCAAAAATTTCCTGTCGTTTAATTTTCGCTGTTTTTGTATATCCTATACATGACAATGTTTACTATGTGTATATTCATTTTGGTCAAAATCGTTCGAGCCGAATTTGGACAGGAAGTTCCTAAAGTTACCCCCCTTTGGCTGATCACGAGTACAAAAAAATTTCAACCAACTAACTATAAAATCCCTTATTTTAAAATATTTAAGGTTAGCCTAGCTGTCAAAATTTGCTGAATCGTTCGTTTAACTATTAAACACACAAACAAAGTGAATTTGTAGAGGCACACTTCGAGAAAAACGATTTTGAAGAATTTAAACTGAAAAACTGTGGTTCATTTTTGAATTGAAAAATGCTTGATTTTCGAATGAAATATTTTTTATGAAAAAATCTGTCGTTTCATTTTGAAAAAAATAATTAATTCTTATAACTGATGATCAAAATGTTCTTGATAATTTTTTGAATATTTTTTAAACGACGTGTTTTGAATTTATAGCGGAAAATATCCCCTCCCCTCTCTCCGTAAGTTACGTTTCTCACAGCGTCTTTCAGACTTGGGACGAATGCAATGCTTTGATTCTACAAATACAAATAAAAATTCCTAGCTGGAAAATATCTTTTACTTAAAAAATGTAATGTACATTATATTTATCACAAGTATAAAACTTTACATCTGCATTTAAATGAAGATGAATAAGCAATTTCTGAAATTTTAAGACCCCCTCCCCCCTCCATTCTTCTCTGCAGTGCAGGACATTAGAGCTTGAAAAAAAAATCGGTTACGTCTGCATAATATACATATTTCACATATTGAACTCCTAAAGTAATGTCCTTCATTCGTGTATACAAATTAAATATTGACTACTAATATTTTTTGTTATTCTAAATATTTTTTTTGTATTTATATCTAGTGAAACTATGTTTCTAAGGATTTTATTACCACGTGTCCGGTTTGGAGTTCATGCACACAGATGCAGTTTCAAACCTTTATATGACTTCTACTTGCATTGGATATTATTTTTTAAGTGAACCAACAGTGGTGTATGTACAACTCTCTTGTGATGAAAATGGAATATATCTACATGTAGGTTTTAAATTATTTCTGTTTTCAAACGAGAGGGTTGCCCCCCACTACCCCCCCCCACCCACCCAGCCCCTGGGATATTGTATCCTTCTGTTGTTTCAATCAATGGAAATGATGTAATCGTCCATATTGACTTCAATTATACCAAACTGTAAATTATTTATCAATATTAAAATTATTCATGTGCCTGAATCGTCTACAATGGTATCATCTACATTGGTATCAATCGTTTTGTTTTTATTCGAGGAAATGCAAACTGAAACTGTTTACAGTAAAAGATTTTCTCAGTGGGGTGCAACCGTTGTATTAATTTCAGTAAATAATTTTTCACTGTTGATACTTACTTTAATTTGTATAAACTTTGGCTTTCAGTTCTTGTGTTCCTTGCAACACACTGTAAATTTATCTGTGTATTTGTGAGGGGAAAAAGCCCATAATTCTTCAGAAAACAATAGGAATAACTCAGCTAAGGGGGAGGAAAGACATACACCGCTACATTTTTAGAGTTGTTTCTCTTTGATCAGTGACATTCTGAAAACGGTTACTCTTTTTTAATTTTTTTTTTCAAAGAAAAGAAAAGCAAGAAAATGTTTATTTAATGATAAAGTTATGATAATATTTAGATATACCGTTATTTTTTTATTCTCAATGTTATGCGGCCGATTGTAACGGGAAAAAGCAATGTAGAGTAGCATTAACATTTTAGATAAAAACATTGCCTTTGTGTAGGTATATCATAAATACAATATTAAAGAATTAATTAACTAAATTTAAATTAAAGAAGTTTAAGAAACTTGTCCTTTTTATGGAGGGGGGGGGGGCGGATTTATTGCAATTGCGCAAATGATCAAGGATAGGATTTGGTATTCCTAAAGAAACAACAATAAAAACCTCTATTCTATTTTTTTTTTTACATTAATTACATCGGGATCGTATCGCTCGTCATTTTGACGCTTCGTAATTAAGGTCAAATTTAACGTTATGTTAAACGTTTTATTGAAATCGCAAGAGTTATCTCCCCCAGTGTGTTGTACGTCTTTAAAGGTGCTTAGACACAGATTTGAAGTTAATATTTACTCAAATTTTCTGTATAATTTCATGATTTATATGTTGCTATAGCATTTCATACGAAAATTTGATAAAAATCTTATTTTATCTGGAAGTTATTGAAACTTCAAATTTCTGGATGCGTTTGATAGACACATCCTTGCACTTTCACAAATTTTAACTTTATCCTTATAACTTTAGAAAATTAGCAATTTTGTTTTTTATTAATGAAAAATATTAAAACTATAATGCAGAAATTTCAGAGTAGAAATGTAGAAAGCAAAATCCTCTCACCAGTATTGTCAGTCCGTGCTCAGTGGTGTGTGCAGAGTTTAACAATTGAACACACCCGGTGAAACGTAAACATTAACAACAACAGAGCTCGTGCCCTGTTTACAAAAACGGTTTACGTTTCACGGGTGTATTCAATTTGTTCAACTCTGTTCACAAATACACAACACTGAGCACGGGCTGACAATACTTAAGTGACTGGGTTTTGCTTTCGCACATTTTTACTCTGAATTTTCTGGATTATAGATGTAATATTATTCATTAATACACAACAAAATTGCTACTTTTCTTAAGTATTAAGGATAAAGTTAAAAATTGTGAAAGTGCAAGGATGTGTTAATTAAACGCCTCCCGAAATTCGTAGTTTCAATAATTTCCAGATTAAGGATGGATTCTTCTCATATTTCTTATAATGGCAGAATCTTGATTTTCTGAATACTCAATATTCAGACTGTTTACACTCTTTTAACATCCAAAAACTTTGGTGTCATCGGCCTTGATTTTCAGTCAAGGTCATTTGAAAGTCAGTCCTAAAAATAGTACTTTTACACAGAGAAATTTTGAAATTTATGCATATGAATAAATTTTGCTGACTGAAAAAATATCTTTCACAATAAAATTAAAGTTGTTACTTATTTTTGATGATTAATTCATATGAAATGAGCTGGTGAAAAGATAACATGAAATCCTTTATATTCAATAAATATATTTAATCCGAATTTCCTCGATATTTTTTCAAAATTCTCAGTTTTTATGAATTCACATGAAATTTCATCTCAATTTTTACAATTGACCATATAATGTCAAATATTTAGATTTTTGTCTGATGAATATTCAAAGGTTCAAGATTAATTTACAATGTAAAAAAGATATAGTAATCAGGCAAATTATCGAAAAAAATTAGCCCGAATTTGCTCTATACTTTCTGAAATCTTCATTTTACAGAGTGTTTTAAATGTCTATAAAAAAGATTTTTAATCCCCCAAAACATATCAATTTGGTGTAATTGTGACATAAATACATTCATTTCTCCCAGTTATACATTCTATTTTTATGGTATTTTACACTAATGATATTCAAAATATTCATTTCGAATTTCCTCTGTCATTTTATTCTTATGAATGTTATGTTTGACAATTTTATAAAATACATCAATTTTCTAGTGGCAATTCAGAAAAATTATCACATACATTCTTCACATGCACAGGACTAATTCAAAGCAACTTAACCTTTAATATAACCAGAAATAAATAATAAACCTTCCAAAAAGTTATGAGAAAAATCATACATAAAATGTTCATAGACTAGAAAAGATTTCAATACATTATTTATGACATAAACATGAAATCAATATACATGTATAGTGAACATGCCATTCAAAGCTTAATATATGAATATCAGAGGGACTAATATATATGCCTATACATGTACATGTATATGTAGTTATATACATATAGGTCCCTGGTATTATGTTATTATTGGATATTTTACATTTGTAAACTGAGTTTTGAAAACAACAAGCAAATTCAAAGAATTGTGGTCCCCCGCTTTCAATATCTTAGTGGATGGGATGCCAATGCCATTATTTATGGCATATTTTAACTGTCTTATTTGTTTGTCCTGTCTTATCAGTGCATCATACAAAAAAACATAAATTATTGAATTAATAACAGTTATGGCAAAGACTATAGCTTCTCAAAACTACATCAAACTTCAAGATCAAGGTCATGAGGTCAAATATCATAATAAAATCCAAAAGATCTTCTCACAAGTGATGCACATGTAAAAAAAAATATCAGAAACCAGAGTATACAATCAGAAAGGTCTTGAAACAGGTAATGCACATGTCAAATGTAAATACCATCTCTTCTCTCAATCAAATGTTATTCGCAATGATAAACTTTTTAAAAATTAGGTCAAACTTCAAGGTCAAGGTCATGGGATTAAAAATCATAGTACATTTGGAAATGCTTGTCACAGGTAATGCACTTGTCAAATATGAATGCCGTATCTTTGCTCCTTCAAAAGTTAGCAAACTGATGAAATGTTTGAAAATTAGGTCAAACTGGAAGGTCAAGGTCACGGGGTCAAATATCATAGCATATTCAGAAACATTTTGACACAGGTAATGCACTTGTCAAATATGAACACCCTATCATATGTCATTCAAAAGTAATCACCAAATATAAAATTTTTGAAATTTAGGTCAAACATGAAGGTCAAGGTAAAGGGGTCAAAAATTATAGCATGCTTGGAAACACTTTGTCACTACTAATGCACATATTAAATATGAAAGCCCTAACTATTCTAAATCAAAAGTTATAAGCAAAGATAAAAATTTTGAAAAGTAGGTCAAACTTCAAGGTAATAGTCATGGGGTCAAAAATCATAGTACACTTGGAAAGGTATTCTTACAGGTAATGTTCATATTTAATATGAAAGCCCTATCTTTTCTCATTTAAATTTAATGACCAATTTAAAGAAATGTCAATTTTCTGAAAAGTAGGTCAAACTTCAAGGTCAAGGTCACGGGGTCAAAAGTCATAGTATAATTTCGAAAGGTCTTGTCACAGGTAATAAACAGGCATAATATGAAAGTCCTATCTTTTCTCATTCAAAAGTTATGACCAATTTAAGGTAATGTTAATTTTTTTGAAAAGTAGGTCAAACTTCAAGGCCAAGGCCACGGGGTCAAAATTCACAGTATATTTGGAAAGGTCTTGTTACAGGTAATGTACATGTGAAATACAAAAGCCCAATCTCTTCTCACTCAAAAGTTATGGCCAAGGTTAAAGTTTTTGTGACAGACAGCCCGACAGATGAATGAGATTTAATGTCCCCTCTCTTTCGCGAAAGCGAGGGACAATAAATACCTACACACATTTATAAGTATATAGTTTGTTCAGCACCAATAAATATAACTCCTCATTGTGATCACATATTGCGTAAAATTTGCTGGAGTTTTAAGATAACGAAAAAGCCATCTATGGCAATCAAATGCCCTTTGACATCTTTGCCTGAAAATGACATCCTTGAACTTTGTAACAATAATATGCATGCAGCTATCAAACTTAATTTCACATTTAGATGCAAAATACTTATTCAAGGATGAAATTTCTTTTTAAGAATTTGTAGCACAAACATTTATTGATCAGTGTCAATAACTTATATTGAAATGAATTAAAAATTACCTCTTGAGGGTTTCTACTGCAAGTACATGTATGTAGTTCATTTGTAAAAATCTAAATTTTAACCCGGCCACTACCAGCAATTTTGTTCGACATGCTCTTGCTTAAAACCACCCTTTAACTAAATGATCTAAAGCAGGCACATTTTTATGTATTCCAGAACTGTATTTTAAGATTTTAACTGTATTTGAAAATGTAAAGCAACTGAATACATAGAGCTAGGTATATATCATTTACAAGTTGTTGTAATGCCAGTACACGTAAATCTTCACATTGTAATCTAATGAAAGATAATGCTTGAAAAATTCACTCTGGGAGTAAGATTTCAAATCTGAATCAAAGATTTTGTAAAGTAATCACATTCTACAAAGTGTGCACTGTATCGGGTACTTGGGAATCAAATAATTAAACATTATATAATTATAAATAAAACTATTTTTGACTGAAAGTTTCTGAAAAAAATCAAGAATGGAATCATGCAACAAGCAGCAGTAACTATGATAACATGCATTGACTTCCACATTTCTACAAAAATATTTCTTTGATCAGATAAATATGTAATTCCTGCTTCTGATCTGTGATATATTCTGAGAAAATCTCTTTTCCACAGACAGCCATCATTCATTTGATGTGAGAATTTCTTGCTGAACATGTGTCCACCTGATGAAAGTCCAAATTTTTTGTTGACCTATAATTTGAAAAAAAAAAAGTAAAATATTTTACATAGCAACACAGATGCTGCATTACATGATAGTTAGATAAAGTTGTGTCCATATTTCTTATACATGTACCTCAATAGTCCATCTGCCAGCACTCCTTGCTCAATCATCCTGCATTCTGACCTCAAGTCTTTTTTCTAGTCTAGGGTAAAGTAGGGTTGATTTTCTCCTAAGAATTAAACATGAACATCCCTTAGACTATTTTTTTAAATTAATGGAAATTGATTATAAGATTAAACAACTTATCTCATCTGTATTTCATTTATTGATTTAAATGAATGAAGATATTTTGATAGATTCTACCATATGCATAATGTCTTATAATGTATTGGATATAAATAAATAGACATTTTTTATCCTAAAAGTACAGAAAAGTAAAAAAAAAACAATAATATAAATAGTTTTTTAACAATAATGTTTCATTTTGCTCTATTTATTAGACAATTGTGTGTTTCAATATTATTGATATTTCCACATACAATATCAAGTTATTTTTCTGTTTGATTTGTACCCAAGCGGGACACCTTACTTTTCTAATAACTTGATGATTGTTGTGTCTTGAACAAAGTAGGCTAGTTAAAAATATAAAATTTGTTGTAATCATATACAAAAAATGCTATTTTTGTGAATTATTATTCATAAACCTGACGAACACACGAAATATATCCTCTTCAAATGTTGACAAGTCGCGGGAATAAGCAGACGAAATATTGATAACAGGACTATAATTTCCGTGCGAATTCCCATAAATCAATACAAACCAGCATGTAATTGAATTCAATTTCAAAATTATAAAATTCTACAGACATATATAACTAACTTACATGCTCACTGCACAGGACATGACTTCAGACGAGGCAACGTGGATCTGCAATTTTGCACATGTTTGTGACCTTCAAGTTCAAGCTTCCCTTTTGGCTGATCGGAATTTCCCGGGCATAAATAACTATGATTTAATTTGTCATAACTGTCCCTGGGCTTCTGCAATGCTTCGATAATGTTCACAGTTTGTAGATTTTACAAAACAACCCTCTCGGGGTTTTCTACGGAAAATGATCTGGACATGTTGACATTCGCTACCGAACTGCGAATATTATGGCGATTGTCGCAAATCAAAGAAAATGTTACGAAAAATTTATTAATTTCAAAAGAAATAGATTCAACATTACTTAAACTGACAAATTAACTAATAGTTTTTCCTTCAGTATAATTAAATATGAATTTTGCATTTTACGACTTGCATAATTTATGGAGACCCATTGTCGACGTAAAATGCTGACAAGAATCCATCCTTAAATAAGTTTTTAATTTTATTTTCGTGTGAAATGCTATAGCAACATATAAGTTGTGATATTATACAGAAAATTTGAGAAAATATAAACTTCAAATCTGTGTCTATGCACCTTTAAGAACTCACAATCACCAAAACTGCGTGCTTTTTCCTATAATCTTTGCAAAGGAATTCATTTTTAAAAATATCCATGGTCACTACACTGAGCCCAAAACTGTTAAAAAAAGGTCTCTTCCAAGATAACGAAAATGTGGGTGTGTGTAAAAGCTGCGCTTCATTACAACAATCGCTGAAGAAGCAATATGAAAGTTATATTTTTGTTTTCTGGAAAGACAAACATTTAACGTTGTACAGTGTTCAGTTGGATTAAAAATTCTAGAAATGGAAAAAGGAGTGTTACAAGATCGCCGTTTTATTGATCGATTAAGATCTATGGGGGCACCAACGAATTTAGATTCTGTGAGCAACTTGATAGCTGTATACCAGATTTACAGTGAGATTGTATAGACACTAAAAAAAAACATTATCACAGTTTATAGATTTCTGATAAAGGAAATATGAATCTTAAACTTTCTTTATCAGACGGGTGCTTTATTTTCTTACAGATACCTAAGAGGAAACATGCGCTAAATGGGCAAATGATCTACTGATCATGAAGAATAAATATTATTTTAAAAAAAAAAAGTGTATGATAAACTTGGGCTATGAGTGTTAAAACATTTGGTGCACTTTTATAGCTTAAAAGGAGGATCGATAATAAAAGGTGGAAACAGATAGAAAGCTGTCGTCTAATTATTGCAAAGAAATGCCAGAGCTACAAACATGTCATACAAGTTTTTTTTTATTTGGCGAATTGCAAAGGGTACGGTAATACATAAACCTAAATCGAAGGAAAGACCACCTTTGGTAGTTTACTAGTTTTTATATATCAATATTGTGTTGAGGAAAGTCTAGTAGTTTTTTTTTCTGTGAGGGAGGTCCAAAACCAGTCATTAGTTAATTTTGGCCTAACTTAAGTCCGGTGTAAAGATAACGCTGTTTAATGAAAAGCAGATATTTGTGCTAGTCCCGACTTTACGCCGGCGTAGCTCTACGACAGGGCGTACGACCTTTGATGAAACAGGCCCCTGGAGATTGAGTTCGGGTCGCCAGCATGAAAGATATGAAAGACCATCGCTTCAAAATAGCGAATAATAATATCTAGAGTACAGGTTGATAAATTTTTAAACAAATTACATATTAAGCATTCTGATGAAATTCCCTATTTATCCTCAGTATTAATATCATAATGAAAAGCAAAGAGTAAAAAAAAAATTGCCCGTTTTAAATAACTTCCTGTGACGACCGGAAGTGCCGACGTCGACGATACACGAAATGTTTTAATCACATATCTACAAATCACACTCTATCATACCTGAAAGTTTCAGACTTTGTCCAAAAATCGCGAAGGGAAGTGAACTTTCAGATAATGAGAAAAACCAGAAGTCTCTGACGAGACTGTAGCTCTACTTGTTGTATTTATAAAGGAAGATAAAAAGTAGCACTTGGACTTGAAACTTTGCAACAGCAATAAATAGAATAATGATCCTTGGTTTAGTCTCTTTTGTGGCAAGATTTATTATTATATCAGACTAAAACTGTAGGAGGAGTAGCCTTTTAAAACAAAAAATAATGATAGCAATGACACAGGAATTTAAGATTTTCCGAGCTTCAAAGTTAGACTTTAAAGGGTGAACACCTTAGCAACACGAAGCACATGCAGTGGTCAGAGCATTTCACTCTAGTGTGGAGGAGCAAGAGAATTGATCCTTACGTCACTGGTTCAAATATCAACGCAGACGTCGAGACCGATACAAGTCCCGTGTCATAGAAGACAGCTGTTGGTACGAAATAAATCTTTTTTCTGTTCTACATTGTATGTCCACAAGTGCCGAGTACAGATCTAAAACATCCCTCAATAGGCAGTCAGTAGTGTTCAAGGGACATGAAGCAGCAAGCAGCCAACCAACAAACTTTGGCATTGTGTATACATGTAGCTGACAATATTTCACTTTATAACTAATAAATCATCTTTACTTTTTACCAATAGTAAAATAAAACGCATACTATTCAGTATGTTAAATCGTCCACCCATTGATATTTCAATCATTTTTGTTTTATAATGAGATTGGTCCTTTGAATTTGATTTAAATTAAACAAACTAAATTATTTAGGTTTTCTCTTAGAAACAAATCTAGAAGAATCAGTGCAAAGTTATCGTTAACATGCTTTTAAATTTTCTTTAAAAAGCACTTGTTCGAAACCTACAGCGCCGTTGGAGGGTCAGATAAAAAAAAATATTTATTTGTTCGGATGAATAAGATATTTGTTAGGACAAATTACATGCATATATTCATTCGGATGAATTAGAAATTTGTTCAGACGAATTACATAATTATTCGCTCGGCGGAATGATATGGCCGGTTTTCCTTTCCAGCATCTTTTCCCTCTGTTTTGATGGTATTATTGATAAATAGAATCCATTAAACAGTAGTTTACCAATGTTTTATACAGTACAATTCTGACAACGGACCAATGACAACGGACTGAATTTTCGTAACTTGTCATGACATAATTTGAATTACAGCAAAAATTTCAGTTTTACTTAGCTTTGATTTTTATTTCAGGGGCTAAGAATATTCTATAATATTACTTGTACCTAGTGTTGGGTATTGTTTATTGTATAAAAGAAAAATCTGTTCATTTCAAAGAAAATTAAAACAAATCAAAATATGTTTTAAGCAAGGTGGTGTATCGCCAACGCAAACTACTGTAATATAACCTCTTACATGTATATATGACGTTATTAATGCACCTACAAATATATTGTCAGTTCTGTTCCCCATTGCAGTTTGAGAGATTGTAATCAATTAACTCACTTGGAAAATGAAATTAAACTAATTATTAGTTCTCTGAAGTTTTGACACCGGACGGACATCACCTATGTGGGCATGACAACAAACCAGTTTTAGTGCTTAACTTTAAAGGTCTCTGACAACGGTACTGTAAAGGAACTTAACGTGTTCCTGGCCGTGCTACGGATTTTTCCGATTTTTGTTTTCCAATCATGACAAGGAGCACACGGCGGGTGTGACCGGTCGGCAGGGGATGCTCACTCCTCCATGACACCTGATCCAACCTCTAAATTTTGAGGTCCGTGTTTGCTCTGCTCCAAAGAGCCATAGTTGCCTCTCCGACAACACGGCCGACTCAAGAATTTAAAAGGAAATCACCTGTTTCTATTTATAGATATACCTTTTTCAATTCAAGATCAAACTATGTAATATGGTTTGAGGACGAGTATTATATTTTCATAGTTGCAAGTATGTCATATGACATTTATTTAATTTGTTCAATACTCTAATTCTGAGACAAAAGATTTAGAAAATCAATAAAAATAAAACAAGTAGCTATGAATTTACAAACTTTAAAGCTATATATGGCGTATCTGAGCTAAAAATAAAATAAAATAAAAATCCGAGATTGAGTGAAGATAAACGTGATATATGTTTTTTACGTTCAAATAAAAATTTTCACTGATTTTGAACTTGAATAACCGAATGTTTCCATAGTTAAATTGATTTTAAACTGTGTCTGTTAATTAAATGCGGAGTCGTTAAATAAATCGGATATTGTATTAAATTTCTAATACCTGTGAAACGTGATTGATTTTAATTGTGTAATTTACAGGAAAGTCCTATCTTTAGATAAAGTAATAAAACAAATAGAAAGATCTTTTTAATTTTAGCTAAATACGCCATATATGACTTTAATAAAATAGTTTACGACTGTCTTTTCTCGAGATACTTTCAAAGTGTAATGTGTATATTATAACTTCCTGAAATTATGCATATTATAAAACGTAATAAAAAAAAAAACGTAGAAAAGATACACAAAGAAAAAAAAAAATTAAAAAAGCATAAATGGAAAAATGTGGGGCTCGAACTCGCAATCACCATATTTACATTCCAGCAGTCATACCACTGTGCCAACGAAGTCAATGATGTCGAATGGATAAATTTAAGACAGATTGCTAAATCTTAAGATTATATAAGAGGAAAATTTGAATATATATTTTCATCATTTTCAATATGAAGACCACCTTTAACCAAAATTATCTAAATGTAATGAAGTGCAGTCATATCAAAATAAAATTATTCAAAAGTTGTTTTTCTGGTTAAGGGTGGTCTTTGGCAACAGTTTGTCATCTTTAGGTGGATACCTCAATATTTACTAAACACTCCATACAAACTGGATAATTTTTATATTCATCATATGAAGGAACTATCAATATTGAAATATCATTAGTGTGTGGTTTGGTTTTACGTATGTATAAACTAATATTGTATGACAAAATTTTGGATAAACAATGAATTTAAGAAATCACCAGTAGAGTAGGCGAAAATGCCTATCAAATGCGCTATGGCTCTTTTTATCGTTTCATTGGACTTTCGAGATTGAATTCTGTTCGTTATCTTCATATTTCATTCAAAATTAGTGAATGAAAACCAGTAAGCATATATAAAAGGTCGATATATATATATATATATATATATATATATATATATATATATATATATATATATATATATATATATATATATATATATATATATATATATATAGTTAAAAATGCTTGTCTAATTCAAGATGTACATGTACATGTATTTGATTATTGTGAAAATCATAGAGAGAACGGCTAACTATTATTTTTAGATTTTGAAAAAGCTTTTGATACTGTTGAATGGCAATTTATGATACAA